GAGGTTGCAGTGAGCCAAGACTGCACCACTGTACTCTTCAGCCTGGGAGACAGAGACTTTGTCTCAAAAAAAAAAAAGTATATAGTCTTTTTTTTTTAATTTTTAATTTTTTTTTTTAAGATGGGGTTTCACCATGTTGGTCAGGCTGGTCTTGAACTCTCGACCGCAGGTGATCTGCCCGCCTTGGCCTCCCAGAGTGCTGGGATTATAGGCGTGAGCCAGCGTGCCCAGCAAAAAAAAAAGTATACATTCATACGCACACACACACACACACACATAAACACACATATACACATATATATGTACACACATATAAATATATATTTGTGTATAGAGACGTATACATATATATTTGTATCTATATGGGGTTTCACTATGTTGGCCAGGCTGGTCTCAACCTCCTAGCCTTGTGATCTGCCTGCCTCAGCCTCCCAAAGTGCTGGGATTACTGGCACGAGTGACTGTGCCCAGCTATATGTATATATATTTTTAGAGATGTGGGTCTCACTCCGTTGCCCAGGCTGGTCTCAAACTCCTGACCTCAAGTGATCCACCTGCCTCAGCTTCTCAAAGTGCTGGGATTACAGGCATGAGCCACCCCACCTGGCCTCTAACTCTGTTTTCTTATCTGCAGAATGGGATCATAATAGCACCTCCTTCAGGGACATGTGATGGTTTCATGAGATCTGATACATAAGTTGCTTAGCACAGTGGATACCGTAGGCACCCAATAAATGAGGCCTGCTATTACGGACCTTTATGGAAATAAGTGCCTGGAAAGCATTTTGGAAGGGCACGTGTTAGACACGAAGGCGGCATGGCTCGGAGCTGCAGGAATAGGACTGGGATGCAGAGAAGGGGAAAGTGCATTGAAAAGAGAAGCTTTAGGCCAGCAGCAGCGGCTCATGCCTATAATCTCAGCACTTTGGATGGCCAAGGCGGGCGGATCACCTGAGGTCGGGAGTTCGAGACCAGCCTGACCAACATAGAGACACCCTGTCTCTACTAAAAACACAAAATTAGCTGGACGTGGTGGCACATGCCTGTAATCCCAACTACTTGGGAGGCTGAGGCAGGAGAATTGCTTGAACCTGGGAGGTGCCATTGCATTCAAGCCTGGGCAACAAGAGCGAAACTCTATCTCAAAAAAAAAAAAAAAAAAAAAAAAAAGAAGCTTTTCAGGGTCCTGCGGCTGCGTGGAGTATCCCAAACCAAGGCACATGTCTACTTGATTCTATGCACCCTGTGTTCAAAAACAGAAAAGATATTGCCAGATTAAGAATGGGCCCGACCTCATGGGACAGCATCAGGTAGGGCAGGGTAAACGTGGATACATTGTCTTCATTCAGTCACTCAACAGACATTTGCTGAGCACCGACTCTGTGCCAGACCCTGTGCTGGTCTTGGGAAGGTGAACTCAGAGAAAACACACAAAGCCCCGCTCCTGCCTGAGTTCAGTGCAGTTGGGGGAAGGAGCAGCCGGCTGATGGTAAACAAATAGGCACACACGCCTCACCAGGGATACCAAGGAGAGGGGACGCTGAGGAGGCCAGGATGTTGAAACTGTAGCAAGCGGGCAGGCAGGGCCTTGCTTCCTCTGGGGAGGTGGCTGCTCTGTTTCCAGCCACAGAAGGCTCTTCCACCCCAGCCTGGCGCCCAGAGTCGGTTTCACTTTCCCCTTACCCGTTGTCTTAGAGTTCGGATTTTGCTTTGTGGAAAGCCCCCCTCTGCCTTTGTCTGGAGTTGCAGATTAGCCTAGTGGTTCTCAACCTTGGCTACACCTTAGACCCTGGGGAGCTTTGTTTGTTTTGTTTTTTTTTGGAGACAGGTTCTCATTCTGTCTCCCAATCTGGAGTGCAGTGGCATGATCTTGGCTCACTGCAAGCTCTCCCTCCCAGATTCAAGTGATTCTCCTCCCTGAGCCTCCCCGGTAGCTGGGATTACAGGCACCGCCACTATGCCTGGCTAATTTTTTGTATTTTCAGCGGAGAAAAGGTTTCACCACCTTGACCAGGCTGGTCTCGAATTCCTGACCTCAAGTGATCCACCTGCCTCGGCCTCCCAAAGTGCTGGGATTACAGACGTGAGCCACCATGCCCAGCCAACCCTGGGGAGCTTTAAAATATCCATATCTGGGCCTGTCTTCAGTTAGATCAGAAGCCCTGAAGATGAGCCTTCCCAAACTGTGGTCTCATCTTAACTCGGTGAGATCAGTGGTCCCCTCCAAGAGCTGTGGTAGGTGAATCACCTCTGGGCAGGTGGCGGGACCTTGACAGTGTCAGGGCTCCCCTCCTTAATTTCCTATGTCTAAGGGACCACAGCCCTGTGCTGCCTGTTGTCTACAGTTTCAACATCCTGGGCTCCTCGGCGTCCCCTCTCCTTGGTATCCCTGGTGAGGCATGTGTGCCTATTTGTTTACCATCGGCCGGCTGCTCCTTCCCCCAACTGCACTGAACTCAGGCAGGAGCGGGGCTTTGTGTGTTTTCTCTGAGTTTACCTTCCCAAGACCAGAACAGGGTCTGGCACAGTTTCTCAGCGGTTTGTGGAAAAACAGCAGTTCCGGTCCACCTCACATCTTCAAGACCGGTACCCAGAGTCCCTCCCCATCCTTTGAACTCCCCAGATCTTCCACCTGTCTCCTCTCCAAGTTCCTTTCCGTGCTCTGGCTGGGATTATAACTGTGTGTGCAGGTTTCACCTCCACTTCTGGAAAGCGCCCCTCTCAGGGGCACAGGGCCTGTCATATTCACATCTGTGTCTGCAGTATGTCTCACAGGGCCTGCTACATGGTAGCTATGTGGTGGGCATGTTTTTGTGCATGGGTCTGCCCTGCCCTTCTTCCTTTGGGCCACCCTAAACATATCCATATCCCTAGAGAACTGATTCCCACCCCACTCTAACCAGGGGGCGCCTCTGGGACTGCTGGTCAAGATCCCCTCCCCACAGCCATTGGTTCATGGGTGGCCGTGAGGCTCAAGACAGTACATGTGGCCAGGCGTGGTGGCTCAGGCCTGTAATCCCAGCATTTTGGGAGGCTGAGCCAGGCAGATCACCTGAGGTCAGGAGTTCAAGACCAGCCTAGCCAACATGGCCAAACCCCATCTCTACTAAAAATACAAAAATTAGCCAGATGTGGTAGTAGGCACCTGTAATCCCAGCTACTCGGGAGGCTGAGGTGGCAGAATCACTTGAACCCAGGCAGCGGAGGTTGCAGTGAGCAGAGATCGTGCCAGCTTGGGCGACAGAGCGAGACTCCACCTCAAAAAAAAAAAAAAAAAAAAAGACATGTCAGAGTCCTTCCCTGTTTTTATTTTTATTTTTTTGACCTGGCTATGTGGGAAGAGTCCCCTCTATACTCTGGTGGCAAAGGTCCAAGGACTGCAAGGTGGTGCTGCCTGCAGCCAGCATTTCCATGGGAGAAAGTGAAGCCAAGAGAGAGAGAAATGAAGATGAAATGAGACACACACACACACACACACACACACACACACGCAGACAAAGGGACTTAAGTCCCTCGATCCAGACAAAATTGACATGAGGAACGCCTCTGCTCTTGTTATGATTTGATAAAATAAGCCAGCGATTTCTTGCTGTGGCTTAAATATTTGTCTCCTCCAAATATCCCCAATGTGTCAGTATTGAGAGGTGGGGCCTGTAAGAGGTGACTGGGTCAAGAGGGGAGCCCTCATGAAATGGGCGAATCCATCATGGATGACTGGGCTGATGGGTTGATGGATGAATGGGTCATCATAGGAGTGGGACTGGTGGCTTTATAAGGAGAGAGATCAGAAGCAGCACGCTCAGCCCCCTTGCCACGTCCTGCCCTGCACCACCTCGGGACTCTCAGAGAGTCCCCACTCTTAAGAAGGCTCTCAGATGTGACCCCCCAACCTTGCACTTCTCAGTCTCCACAACTGTAAGAAAGAAATTAAAAAAAAAAATAAATTACCCAGTTCCAGGTTTTCTGTTATAAGCAAGAGAAAATGGACGAAGACATTTATCTTTATTATTTTGGCCAATTGCATCCCAGAGAGACCTGACTACTACAAGACACCACTGTATACTTGCGGCATGAATGAAATACCATCGATTAATGTGCATACCGCATTCCCAGTGCACCTGAGGTGGCTTCCAACAAGAACAAGGAAGATAAAATTTAAAGATCGGAAATGGAGATTCAAGAATGTGGGTGGGTGCGGTGGTGTATGCCCGCGCTACCAGTGGTGAATTTCCAGCTACTCTGGAGGCCGAGGAGGGTGCGGTGAGCCAAGACCGTGCCATTGCACTTGAGCTCAGGAATGTGAATCCAGCCTGGGCAACACAGCAAGATCTTGTCTCTAAAAATAAAAAAATGTAGGCCACATGGGATGACTCATACCTGTAATCCCAGCACTTTCGGAGGCCAAGGCAGGAGGATCACCTGAGGCCAGGAGTTTGAGACCAGACTAGGTAATATAGTGAGATCCTGTCCCTAAAAAAATGATCTACAAAAATTTTAGCCAGGCGTGCTGGCTCATGCCTGTAATCCCAGCACTTTGGGAGGCTGAGGCAGGAAGATCACCTGAGGTCGGGAATTTGAGACCAGCCTGATCAACATGGAGAAACCCCGTCTCTACCAAAAATACAAAATTAGCTGGGCGTGGTGGTGCATGCCTGTAGTCCCAGCTACTTGGGAGGCTGAGGCAGGAGAATCCCTTGAACGCAGGAGAATCCCTTGAACCCAGGAGGCAGAGGTTTCGGTGAGCTGAGATTGTGCCATTGTACTCCAGCCTGGGCAACAAGAGTAAAACTCGATCTCAAATAATAATAATAAAATAAAATAATAAAATTAAAACTGTAAAAATATAATTAAAAAGAAAAAATGAAGATCAGAAACAATAGCATAAATATATAAATATGCAGCCCATAAAGGCCTGCAAAAGTACTTTATTAATTAAATATCACATTTAGCTCTGAGCCTTCTGGCAGCCAAAGCAAAAAGTTTTGTTTTTTTTTCCCAGAGAAAACTTCTTCAGTGGAAAGAAATTTTTTCCTAGACGTTAGCTCCAAAGGAACAGTTTCAGATGGGGCCCACCGTGTGATGTGGTAAAGGCCAGCCTCAGCCACATTCCCACAGCCGAAGCCTGTAATAAGCCTCCCACAATGAGTCCTTGGAGAGTGGGTCCAGGTGGTTCAGTTGTTCTCATTTGGGCTCGCCTTGACCTCTCAGTGGCTCTTGTCATAGTTGGTCACTTTCCTCCTCTTTGAAATACTTTGTTCACTTGGATGGGGGCTCTCACTCTAGACAATCTTCTTTCCCACTGTGGGCTCTGCTCTTCCCTCCATGGCCACATCTCCCTGACCTCTCTTGACCTCTGCAAGGTGGCCGGCCCAGGCTCAGACTCCTTCTTTCCTCTTCCCTTCCCTGCTCTCCCCTCCCCTTCCCTGCTCTCCCCTCCCCTTCCCTCCCCTCCCCTTCTCTCCCCTCTCCTCCTCTGCTCTCCCCTCCCCTTCCCTGCTCTCCCCTCCCCTTCCCTGCTCTCCCCTCCCCTTCCCTGCTCTCCCCTCCTCTTCCCTGCTCTCCCCTCCCCTTCCCTCCCCTCTCCTGCCCTCCCCTCCCCCTCCCTCCCCTCCCCTGCTCTCCACTCCCCCTCCCTCCCCTCCCCCGCCCTCCACTCCCTTGCCTCCCATTCTTCTTCCTGGATGGCAGGCCACTGTTACCCAGGTCCTCCAGTCTAATTTCTATTCACAGTCAGAGGGAATGCAGCCATTACATTTTATACCATTTCCTCACTGTCTTGTGATCACCTAAAATTACTAAACAAATCTCTATTAAAAAGTACCCAGTTGTGTGTAGTAGCCAAATCCCAGAACTTGATTTAGAATGAAATAGTCTTGGGCGGGGCGTGGTGGTACACACCTGTTGTCCCAGCTGCTCGTGGGGCTGAGGCTACAGGGATAGCTTGAGTTTGGGCTGCAGGCACCTGAGATGGCACCACTGCATTCCAGCCTGGGCAACAGAGTAAGACCCTGTCTCAAAAAAAAAAAAAAAACAATGAAGTATTTCCCACTTCTGGCCACTGCAGCCCCCATGGATAAGGAGTGGGGGAAGTCAGCTCTTCGCCTCTCCGTGGCACCACTCTCAGGCTTGAGAAGACCCTGCCTTTGGGGTACAGGGAGGAAGGGAGGGCAGTGGGTGCAGAGAGTATGTGCTGGATTGGCAGTGGTGTAAGATGGCATCTCACTCCCTAGATGGCAGCTGTCTAAAGCTGGCTCCTGCCCTCCGAAGGGTTTCACGGGCTCCTGGAGTCTCCCTTAGGCACTGCCCCCTTGACTGAAACTCCTGGGAAATGGGCAGGGGCTCTCTGTTGGTAGCTCTGGCTTTCTTTCAAGTGGCATGCACTAACCCACTCTGTTGCATACCCTGTGCCAGAGAATACAAGCCCGCTGGGCCAGACCCCTTCTTCCATTCCCGCTGGCCAGTGCCCACCATAGTTCACCCCCTTTCTGGAGGCCTCACCTACCGATACCCACTGGGCCACCATGACTGTAGTGAGCCCACCTCAAGCTCTCTGGGGGGCTTCCTTGAAGCGCTTCTCACCAGATTTGGGGTTAGAAGGCGGCTCCCCAGTTCCACCCCCTGCAGACTCAGTGCCATAGCAGCTCTTTCCAAATCAAATCACTGCAAACTGCCCCTTTCAAATCCACCCTTGATCGCTTTATACTCTTGAGGTGAATGAGGGGCTTCAACAGTGGCAATGTGGGTTTCTGCTTTCTTTCAACTTTCGCATTTTGGCCAGAAGCAAGCAATTCACCATGGCATTTCATGTCTATTCCACTCTGGAGCCTCGGTCGAATATTCTTTCATGCTGTTTATCATGCTTAGGACAAACCCAAAATTCCTGCCTACCAGGCCCCACATGATCTGACTCTTGAGTCCCCTATGGAGGTTCATATATATATATATATATATATATATATATATATATTTTTTTTTTTTTTTTTTGAGACGGAGTTTTGCTCTTATTACCCAGGCTGGAGTGCAATGGCGTGATCTCAGCTCACCACAACCTCTGCCTCCTCGGTTCAGGCAATTCTCCTGCCTCAGCCTCCCAAGTAGCTGGGATTATAGGCATGTGCCACCACACCTGGCTTATTTTTGTATTTTTAGTAGAGACAGGGTTTCTCCATGTTCGTCAGGCTGGTCTCAAACTCCTGACCTCAGGTGATCTGCCCGCCTTGGCCTCCCAAAGTGCTGGGATTACAGGCGTTGGCCACTGCACCCAGCCTATTTATATTTTTGAGACAGAGTCTCACTCTGTCACCCAGGCTGGAGTTCAGTGGCACAATCTCAGCTCACTGCAACCTCTGCCTCCCAGTTTCAAGCAATTCTCCTGCCTCAGCCTTCCAAGTAGCTGGGATTACAGGTGCCTGCCACTATGTCTGCAGACGTTTTTTGTATTTTTAGTAGAGGTGGAGTTTCACCATATTGGCCAGGCTGGTCTCGAACTCCTCACCTCAGGTGATCCCCCGCCCGCCCTTCCCGGCCTGCCAAAGTGCTGGGATTACAGGTGTGAGCCACCGTGCCCAGCCTAACCTCAGCACTTAGGGAGGCTAAGGCAGAAGGATCCTGTAAGGACAGGAGTAGAAGATCAGCCTGGGAAACATAGCGAGACTCTGTCTCTTGAAAAAAAACAAACAAACTAAAACTAAAATAGGCCAAGTGCAGTGGCTCACACCTGTAATGTCATCACTTCAGGAGGCCAAGGCGGGCAGATCACCTGAGGCCAGGAGTTCAAGACCAGCCTGGCCAACATGGTGAAACCCCGTCTCTAATAAAAAATCCAAAATGACCTGTGTGTGGTGGCACACACCTGTAATCCCAGCTACTTGGGAGGATGAGGTACAAGAATCACTTGAACCTGGGAGGTGGAGGTTGCAGTGAATCGAGATCACACTATTGCACTCCAGCCTGGGCGACAGCAAGACTCTGTCTCACCGACCCCCCCCCAAAAAAAAAAACCCTAAAAGAAAAAGAAAATTGTAATCTGAGACTCCAATGTGAAAGAGCCCATTGGAAATGTTTTTATAGGGCAGTTCTACCAGCCTTTCAAGGAACAGATGGTCTTTATCTCATACCAGTTGTTGCAGAAGACAGAAAGAGAGAAGGCTGCCCAGTTTTTTATGACCACCCCCGCCCAGACCAAACAACATAAGGACACTATCAGAAACGGAAAGTCTGTATAGAGCACTGGATTATGGACACAGATGTTAAGCGTGAACTAATATAATAGAATATAGGAAAATACCCCACCTAGGGGCAGGAAAACAACTTCTTAAGACTCCCAAAATACAAAACATTCATGAATCTAACGCCATGAAAATTAAAGATTTTTTGACAAGCCTTGAAAAAAATTAAGGATTTCTGGTCGGGTAAAGTGGCTCGTGCCTGTAATCCCAGCACTTTGGGAGGCCAAGGCGGGAGGATCACTTGAGGCCAGGAGTTCAAGAGCAGCCTGGCCAACATGGTGAAATCCCATCTCCACTACAGAAGTTAGCCAGGTGTGGTGGCACGTGCTTGTAATTCTAGCTATTCAGGAGGCTGCAGCAGGAGAATTGCTTGAACCCAGGAGGCGGAGGTTTCAGCGAGCGGAGATTGTACCACTGTACTCCAGCCGGGGTGAAAAAAAAGGATTTCTGTTACATTAGAGCCCTCAGAGACAAGGTTGACAGGTGACTGTGATCTAGGAAATAAAGAACTCCTTCGGCAGGGCGCGGTGGCTCACGCCTATAATTTCAGCACTTTGGGAGGCCAAGGTGGGTGGATCATTTCAGGTCAGGAGTTCCAGACCAGCCTGGCTAACATGGCGAAACCCCATTTCTACTAAAAATACAAAAAATTAGCTGAGCATGGGTCATGTGCCTGTAATCCCAGCTACTCTGGGGGGTTGAGGCGATAGAATCACTGGAACCTGGGAGGTAGAGGCTGCAGTGAGCTGAGATCGCACCACTGCACTCCAGCCCCGGAAAGAGAGCAAGACTCCGTCTTAAACAAACAAACAAAAAATTACAAGATATCATTCTTCGGCCACAGGGTTAGTCAAAATTCATAAGTTGAATAATGCCGACATTTGGTGAGAATGTGGGCAGACAGAAATTCTTGGTCCTTTGTAGGTACATAAACTGGCACAACCCTTCTCTCAAGCAATCTGAAGTTGGATGTATGTTTATGCCAAGACCTTACACTCTCAGTCCTTGATAAGCATGCCAGAGAGATTCTCATGCAGGTGGACAAAGAGGCATGTGCAGGGGTGTTGTGTCCCTTGTGAGAACAGGAGTTGGGAGCCACTTTGGCATCCGTCATCAGAAGGATGGATTAAGTAACGGGTATGTAGGAAACTACGGACACTATGCAACAGTCAGGGTCGACAAGGCTTTTTTAAAAACACAGTGCTGGTCGGGTGCAGTGGCTCACACCTGTAATCCCAGCACTGTGGGAGGCCAACATGGGTAAATAGGTCAGGAGTTCAAACTAGCCTGGCCAACACGGCGAAACCTGGTCTCTACTGAAAAATATTAGCCAAGCGTGGTGACACATGCCTGTAGTCCCAGCTACTTGGGAGGCTGAGGCAGGAGAATTGCTTGAGCCCGGGAGGCAGAGGTTGCAGTGAGCCGAGATTGCCCCACTGCACTCCAGCCTGGGCAAAAGAGCAAGACTCTGTTTCAAAAAGCAAAACAAAACAAAAAAATCACAGTGCTAGCAGGGGAGGGCGGCATGTGCTGATAATCCAGATACTCGGGAGGCTGCAACAGGAGGATCTCTTGACCTCAGGAGTTTGAGGCCAGCATGGGCAATATGAGAACTTGTCTCTCAAAACAAAACACATGGTGCTTCATGCCTATAATTTCAGCATTTTTTTGAGATGGAGTATTACTGTGTCACCCAGGGTGGAGTGCAGTGGCACGATCTCAGCTCACTGCATCCTCTGCCTCCTGAAGAGCTGGGATTACAGCGAGCGCTACTACACCCGGCTCATTTTCGTATTTTTAGTAGATACAGGGTTTCATCATGTTGGCCAGGCTGATTTTGAACTCCTGACCTTAAGTGATCCAACTGCCTTGGCCTCTCAAAGTGCTAGGACTGCAGACATGGAGCCACCACGCTCAGCCCAGACTAGACATTTCAATTTCTGAGGCTGTTCTTAGTGATCAAAGGACTTTTTATCACCTAAGGTGACTTGAGGAGTCATAATGCCTACTCATGTTTTATCCAGGCCTGGGAACAGCTTGGCCCAAGGGGGAGTGGGTGGGTGGAGAAGGATGCAGCTGTCTCTGCCTGAATGCTGGGTCCCCTTTGCTCAGGCTGTCAGTGCCACGTTTTTTGTTTTTTTGTTTTTTTTTTGAGATGGAGTTTCGCTCGTTACCCAGGCTGGAGTGCAATGGTGCGATCTTGGCTCACCGGAACCTCCGCCTCCTGGGTTCAGGCAATTCTCCTGCCTCAGCCTCCCAAATAGCTGGGATTATAGGCACGCGCCACCATGCCCAGCTAATTTTTTGTATTTTTAGTAGAGATGGGGTTTCACCATGTTGACCAGGATGGTCTCCATCTCTTGACCTCGTGATCCACCCGCCTCAGCCTCCCAAAGTCCTGGGATTACAGGCTTGAACCACCGCGCCCAGCCCTAGTGCCACGTTTGTTTGTGTTCACAGGGGAAAAACACTGGCCAAATACACATCCAATAGTTAACAGTTCTACTGCACATATTTAAATTTTTGACAACATACATATGTAACTTCTATCTGAAGAATCAATAAAGATATGTTTTCTATCTGTACATTTATTTATTTATTATTTTATTTTATTTTTTGAGACAGAGTCTTCTTCTGTTGCTCAGGCTGGAGTGCAGTGATGCAATCTCAGCTCACTGCAACCTCCACCTCCTGGGTTCAAGCACTTCTCCCACCTCAGCTTCCCTAGTAGCTGAGACTACAGGCACACACCATCATGCCTGGCTAATTTTTTGTATTTTTAGTAGAGACAGGGTTTCCCCATGTTGCTCAGGCTGGTCTCAAACTCCTGGGCTCAAGCCATCCTCCTGGCTTGGACTCCCAAAGTGCTGGGATTACAGACGTGAGCCACTAAGTGCTGGGATTACAGGTGTGAGCCACTATGCCAGGCTCCCATTGCAGGTTTTAAGTAGAATCTTAACAAATGGCTCAGGCTGCTGGGTTGGAAATTAACCATGAAGAAGCAGAAAGTCTATATAGGAGTCAACCGGTCCAAATGGGTGGTGGTGGGAGTTCAGATTCTGAACACACTTTGAAATCAGGAACAACTGCTGGATAGGACATACCATGTCAGAGAAAGAGAAGAGCCTAGGTTGTTGGCTGGAGAAACAGAAAGGAGAGCATAATCACTAGGCCCAGATGGAGCAGGCTGTGGAGTGGGTCAGGGGGTCAGTTTCAGATTTGTTAAATGTGAGTTGCCTGTTAGACACCTAGTGGAGTGGGCCATTGGAGTTTGGGGGGCAGAACTTACCTTCCATGTTTGAGGGAGAGGACTGGACTACAGATAAAAGTGGAGCTCATTGGCTGATAGATTTTATTTAAACATGAGCCTGTCATGCCTGTAATCCCAACACTTTGGGAGTCTGAAGTGGGAAAATCTCTCAAGTCCAGGGGTTTGAGACCAGCCTGGGCAACTTGGCAAAACCTCATCTCTACAAAAAATTAGCCAAGCATGGTGGTGCATGCCTTTAGTTCCAGCTACTTGGGAGGCTGAGGTAGGAGGAGCCCAGGAGGTTGAGACTGCAGTGAGCCACGATCATGCCACTGCACTCCAGTCTAGGCAACAGAGTGAGGCCCTGTCTCCAAAAACATAACAAAACAAAACAAAAACCCAAAACTCAAAACACAGAACCATGAGCCTGGTGAGTCCAGTAGGAGAGTGGATGTGGACAAAGAAGAGAGAAGGTGCAGCTGTCCCTCTCCTGGAAGGGGAGGAGGAACTGGCAGAGGAGCTGGGGAGGAGCTGGCCACTGACCTCAGCTTGGTGGGAGGGAAGGCACCAGTGATCTGGGCAGGTGCAGCCTGCCTGGAGTGGGTTCAAGAAAGAAAGGCAAGGGGGAAATTAACCTTGTCCAGTGAAAACTCTTTCAGGAGGCTTTGCTGCAAAAGGAACAGAGAAATGAGGCAGTATTGAAGGGGGAAGTGAGTCAAGGGAGAAGCAACAGTACATTTGTGCTGATGGAAATGATCCCAGAGAGAGACGGGGAGGACAGCTGGAGGCACGTCACTGAGCAGGCAATCAGCAAGCGAATGAATTCATGGCAAGGGTGATAAATGAAGCAGAGTAAGGGGTGGGGCCTCTTAGGGACTTAGGAAATCTGGGCAGGGAGGGCTTCTTTGGCAAGTGTCATTGTAGCAGAAAGCTGGAGGTCCTGAGAGGGTGAGCCATGTGGATTCTGGGGAGAGAGCCTTTCAGGAAGAAGAAACAGCCAGTGCAAAGGCCCTGAGGTGGGACTGGCCGATGTACTGAAGAGACAGTGTGGTTGGATCAGGGGTCATGGTGGCCCTTGCAGGTAGACATCTGTGAAACGTGCGGGACCTAGTGGGCCAGTAAGGACTTTGACTTTTAGCCAGTGAGAGCCAGGACCCATGAGCTGGTTGTGAACACAGATGTGATGGACTCCATTCTTTTTTGTGATGGATTCTGTTCTTTTTTTTTCTTAGTTAAGGTCTTGCTCTGTCACCCAAGCTGAAGTGCAGTCATGAAAATATCAACCTGAGAAATCCAGACCTGCCCTCTGCCAGGGAAGACAGTGGCCCAGGGTTCTAGACTGTCCAGGAAATCAGCTGGGTTGCGGTCTGGGGGGCTCCATTTCTGAAAGTGGAGCTGCCTACACCTGTGCCTTCCACTGGGCTCCAGGTGTGGGAGGAGGATGGCAGCCCCCAGAAAGGACAGAGTTTGCATATTTTGGATGGCAAAAGAGCTTCACCTGGAGCAGCACTATGTAGGATGTTTACACTGGATGTGCTCACTGTCAGGTGCTACTGGGATGGAGCCTGAGCGCAGAAGAGGGACCACAGGGCCACAGGGCCATAGGCAGGTCTGAGAAAAATTCTGCCTCTAGGGTAACTTCCAGGATAACCTGCCACACTGGGGGCACATCACTGATGACCTAATAATAGCAATGTGGCCGGACGCAGTGGCTCATGTCTGTAATCCCAGCACTTCCGGAGGCCAAGGTGGGTGGATCACCTGAGGTCAGGAGTTCAAGACGAGCCTGGCCAACATAGTGAAAACCCATCTCTACAAAAATTCCAAAAATTAGTTGAGCATGGTGGCACACACCTGTAATCCCAGTTATTCAGGAGGCGACGTGGGAGAATTGCCTGACCCCAGGAGGTAGAGGTTGCAGTGAGCCAGGATTGCATCACTGCACTCCAGCCTGGGAGACAGAGCGAGATTCCATCTCAAAAAAATGATGATCGTAACGGCAACACTAGCAGAAGTTCCCGTGAGTCATGAGGATGTTCTGTTTGTATCTGCCTAGTGATTTAATCCTTACTACTACCTTGAGGGTAGATACGATTATAACCAGCCCCCTACTTCCCATGAGAAAACAGGCACTAAGAGGGCACAGGGCAAGTGGAGGAGCTGGGATTTGCACCCAAGCGCTTCCTCTGCGCTCTTAGCCACTATGCTCTGCAGCCTCAAGAAAGTGGTCAGTTAGTGTTAGTAATAATCACATTTACCAATTTCATTGTTTGGGGTTTCATGTAGTCCTTGCACAAACCTATGAGCTAGGGCCATGATTCCAGTTTTGCAGAGTGGGGAACCCGTCACAGAGCTAGTGAGAGGCCACACCAGGCCTCCAGTCCGGCTGGTCCATCTCTAGGACCTCAGCTCAGCACCATGTCCTCGTACTGCAGGCCTCAGCGGTCAGCACCAGGCATCCCATGGGGACTTAAGATTCCAAGGCATTTTAGCACTGCTTAGAAGTTTGGGGTAAGATCTTTTCATCCTTTTAAATTTTTATTTGATTTTTGAGATGGAGTCTCACTCTTTCGCCCAGGCTGGAGTGCAATGGTGCAGTCTCAGCTCACTGCAACCTCCACCTCCTGGGTTTAAGTGATTCTCGTGCCTCAGCCTCCCAAGTAGCTGGGATTACAGGCACCTGCCACTATGCCCAGCTAATTTTTGTGTTTTTAGTAGAGATGGGGTTTCACCATGTTGGCCAGGCTGGTCTTGACCTCAGGTGATCCTCTGCCTCAGCCTCCCAAAGTGCTGGGATTACAGGCAAGAGCCACTGTGCCCGGCCTCAGGTGAGATTTAAATGTTGTAACTCCTTCCAGAACCTCATGGCCTATGAATATGCCCTGTCTCCTGGACACAACCTTCAACTTCCTGACTGGGGCTGGGAGTGCAAGGATTTGTTTATTTTTTCTTGAAACAGAGTCTTCCTCTGTTGCCCTGGCTGGAGTGCAGTGACACAATCTGGGCTTGCTGCAGCCTCTGCCTCCCAGGTTCAAGCGATTCTCGTGCCTCAGCCTTCCAAGTAGCTGGGGTTACAGGCCCGAGACACTGGGCCTGGCTAATTTGTTTTGCATTTTTGTCAAAGATGGTATTTCACCATTTTGGCCAGGCTGGTCTTGAACTCCTGGCCTCAGGTGATTCACCCGCCTCAACCCTGCAAAATGCTGGGATTACAGGCCTCAGTAACCGCACCCAGCCTGGGAGTGCGAGGATTTAAATAAAATCTTGTGAAAGTCCAGTTTGGTTCCTTCGGGGCCCCAGCTGGGTCTGGGGGCAGCGCAGGAGACAGGCTGATGGAGAGGGCTTGCCTCAGGCACCGCCTGGGCATCTTCACGGGTGTGAGGACTCTGTGAGATGGCCGAGTCCTGAGGTCCCCTGTACAGACAGATGGGGAAACACAGGTGAAGTGGGGACAGGGACTTACATCAGGTCACACGGGGAGCCAGTGGCTGAGGCAGGAGCAGAGGCAGGACCTGGCCCTGGGTCTCTGCGCTGAACCATTCCTGGGCATCCTGCTGAATTTGCCCCCAGAAGGAAATGGGCCTCACATACCCCACTGCCGCCTCCTAGCATACTTTTGTCCTGACCCCTTGAGACTGGCTGAGGACTGGTTGCCATAGAGATGGCCTGTTGGGCAGTTCCACGGCGGGGGGTGGGGGATGGGGCAGGATGGGGAGGACACCGATATGCTAAATACCCACCAACAGTTGGTTAGGGCCCCGTTGGGGCGACCAGGGCAGGACACACAGCTTCAGGCTCCGGGGAGCAGCTCTAGGCTGCTCAAGCTGCTGTTGACCATCTCTCAGGACAAGCAGGTGAGGGAGGCCCAGTGGGGGCATTTCCAGGAGGGCCGCGTTGGGTCAGGGAGGCCTGGGCTGGGGAGGCTCTTGAGAAGCCATGATACCTGAGCTGAGGTCCAGTGAAAGTCAGGGGGCAGGACCGGGACAGGGACCACAGGGAGCCCTAAAGGCCTTGGGGGAAGCTGAGGGATGATGGGGCAATTTAGGGAACACTGCGGGAGGAACAGGGTTTCAAGAAAGATGAAGACCACCTTGATGAAGACCACCTTGGTTTCCGCCTTGGCTGTAGCAGGTCCAGGGCCCAATGGGACATTTGGGAGTGCAGTCCAGGGCCCAGAGGCGGCCTGGTGCAAAGGTGACGAATCTGGGCTCCACCACTTTCCAGCTGTGTGACCTCAGTTACTCAGCCTCTCTGAGCCTCAGCTTTCTCCTCCGCATGAGAGGAGTGATCTCCTCCGCATGATGGGGCCTCCTAGGGTCCTTGGGAAGGTAATGTGTGTTCATGTATGAAAGTCCTGAGCACATAGTAGGTGCTCAGCAGATGGCGGCTGTTGCTATTTTAATATGCAGAATGGAGGTGTTCAGTCGAGTTCTTTTGTTTTGTTTTGTTTTTTTTGAGATGGTGTTTTGCCCTTGTTGCTCAGGCTGGAGTGCAATGGCGCAACCTCGGCTCCCTGCAGCCTCTGCCTCCCGGGGTTCAAGCGATTCTCCTGCCTCAGCCTCCCAAGTAGCTGAGATTACAGGCACAGGCCACCACATCCGGCTAATTTTTTTTTTTTGTATTTTTAGTAGAGATGGGGTTTCACCATGTTGGCCAGGCTGATCTCGAACTCCTGGCCTCAGATGATCTGCCCACCTCCGCCTTTCAAAGTGCTGGGATTACAGGCATGAGCCCCGCGCTCGGCTGTGTTCCATTGGTTTTAATGGTAACAAGGGCCCAGAGGGGTCCAGTCAGGCCCAGCCAGGTGCACAGAAGAGGAGAGCACCCAGGCAAGGTGCAACACAGTCCAGAAGGCTGCTCCGAGCTAACCTCCCCTACTGTCTGTGCCCAGGGCCACCTGGGGAGTGGTGACGGTGTGCCAAATCAGGACCTGCAACGGAGGTCTCAGAGCTCAAGGCAGACAGCAAAGAAGGACCGCAAGCCCAGGGGTCAGAGCAAGAAAGGACAGGGTTCTGAAGAGGCTGAGGCGTAAGGAGCAGTAGGATGGGTCAGGTGGGTGCTGGGGGTCAGGCCCTTCTGGGGGCTGGTGTGGAACCTGACCCCCACCCTCTCCTTCTTCAGTCTCTTCACCCCTTCTGCTCGGAAGCCCTCCTTCCCCTTCCAGTGGGCCTGGGAAAGCATTGCCACAGATGTCCGGGATGCACTTCAGCCAAGCTCCCCAGCCTCTAGCCACCAAGTCCTGCCCCTGCCCTCCTCACTCTCCCAGCCTCAGTTCAGGCGCAAGTCCACAGGCAGCCTCCCAGAGAACCCTGGCTGCTGCCAGGAGACAGAGACACAAAACCTAAAGGTGAGACAGCGGCTGAGAGCCTGGGGCGGTGTCTCCATCCTTCCTGGCAAAGGAGGACAAGGACCAGAGCCCCACTGTGAGTGTGACCTCCAGCTGCCTGGGAGGAGGCCAGGATCAGGATCGGTGTCCGACGAGCAGGTCCAGCTGCCAGGCCCGGGTGCTGAGAAAGCCGAGAAGGGTCTGAGTTCTGTGGAGCTGCCCCAGCGCCCCAGAAGGGAGCCGATCTCAGAGGAGGAGCAATTCTCAGATGCCACAGAGGAGGCTGAGGAGGGGGAGCACAGGGCTACCCACAGAAGGAGGGCTGGTTCTCAGAAAAAGGGGCAGATTTCTGGAGAGGAGGCTTCAGATGAGGGGGAACAGGGCCAGAGCCAGGGGAGCACCCCCAGCTACAACAACCTCCAAAGGCCACGGAGGAGGAAGACAAGGGCCAAGGAGCTACAGGAGCCGTGGGACCTGGAGAAGCTGCACAGTCAGCTCCAGAGAGACCTGGATTGTGGTGAGCACGCGGCTCAGAGCCTGGGTTCCCCGAAGCAACACCACTGGGAGAGCACTCAGGGAGGCAGGAGCTCAGGCAGGCTAGGCTGTGCCCTGGGTGCTGGGGGGATTGCCTGGTGGGCTGGGAGAGAGAGGGCAGTCCCTGACTTGATCTCACTGTGGACAGGTCCCCAAAAGCAGCACTGGAGGGCTCGGAGAGATGCCTTCCAGGCCTCCAAACGTCATGGGAAGGGCTATGCCTTGGGAGGCGATGAAACCTTCCTGTCTGCCAACCTGTCTAACCGCACCTTCCACAAACGACAGGAAGCCACCAGGTAAGAGGGTAGAGAAGGGAGTGGGAGGCAAGAGTGAGAAGTAGAGATGGAGCCAGTTCTCCAAGACGTGCTGAGGCATTTGAACTCTCATTCATTTCTTTGTTTATCCATTCGCCAAACTTTTGGATTCTCCATCCATTCATCCACTCATCCATCCCTCCATCCACCCAACCATCCATCCACCCATCCACCCATCCATCCATCATCCATCCATCCAAACATCATCCATCCAAACATCCATCCATCCATCCATCCATCCATCCATCCACCCATCCATACATCCATCCACCCATCCACCCCACCATCCATCCATCCATCCACCCACCCACCCACTCATCCATCCATTCATCTAAACACCATCCATCCATTCATCCACCCTCTCACTCATCCATCCATCCACCCACCCACCCACTCATCCATCCATTCATCCAAACATCATCCATCCATTCATCCACCCTCTCACTCATCCATCCATCCGCCCACCCACCCATCCACCCACCCACCCATCCATCCATCCACCCACCCACCCACTCATCCATCCATTCATCCAAACATCATCCATCCATTCACCCACCCTCTCACTCATCCATCCATCTGCCCACCCACCCATCCACCCACCCACCCATCCATCCATCCACCCACCCACCCACTCACCCATCCATTCATCCATCCATCCATCCATCCATCCAGCTACTGAAAACATCCACTCAACCGTGTATCCATCTCTCTGAATACCTGGCCAATTATTTATTGACACAGTCACTTTTATTACCCATCTTTTCTTCTATCCATCCATTAATCTATTAACTAAGTGATTAATGCAACATTTATTATCTACTCATGGGACCTTAGGATATAACTATTACAAGACTTGGAGCTAGCTGGGCATGGTGACATGTGCTTGTAGTCCCAGCTACTCAGGAGGCTGAGGTAGGAGGATCTCTTGAGCTTAGGAGATTGAGACTGCAGTGAGCTATGGTCCTGCCACTGCACTCAGCATGGGCAACCGAGTGAGACACTGCCTCTTAAAACGAAGTTAAAAGGCCAGGCACAGTGGCTCATACCTATAATCCCAGCACTTTGGGAGGCTGAGATGTGTGTATTGTCTGAGTTCAGGAGTTCGAGACCAGCCTGGGCAACTAAAAATATAAAAAATTAGCCAGATGTGGTGGTGTGTGCCTGTAGTCCCATCTACTCAGGAGGCTGAGGCAGGAGAATTGCTTGAACCTGGGAAATGGAGGTTGCAGTGAGCCAAGATCGCACCACTGCACTCCATCCAGCCTTGGCGACAGAGCGAGCCTCTGTCTCAAACAACCAACCAACCAACCCAGCCTGGTCAGCATGAGACCACTGTCTCTACAAAAGAAAAGAAGATTAACCTGGTTTGGTGGAAAGCGCCTATGGGCCCAGCTTCTCTAGAGGCTGAATCAGGAGGATCTCTTGAGCCCAGAAGTTCGAGGCTGCAGTGAGTCATGATCACATCACTGCATTCCAGTCTGGGCAACAGACCGAGACTCTGTTTCTAAAGCAAAGGAGACAGTGGGAGCTGAAGGGGAGACTATTGGCAACACTGGGATGAGGGACCATGAGGCCCTCAACCAGGAGGCCCTGTGGATGGAGGGAGGAGATCCATTTAAGAGACATTTAGAGACTGGTTCAGTAGGCCTTGGTGACTGGTGACAGGTGGCATGTGAGAGCAGGGGAGAGTTCATTCAGTATTCTTTTTTTTTTTTTTTTGGAGACAGAGTCTCACTCTGTTGCCAGGCTGGAGTGCAGTGGCTCACTGCAACCTCTGCCTCTCAGATTCAAGCAATTCTCCTGCCTCAGCCTCCTGAGTAGCTGGGACTACAGGCACACGCCACCATGCCGGGTTAATTTTTGTATGTTTGGTAGCGATGGTGATTTACCATGTTGGCCAGGATCATCTCAATCTCCTGACCTCGTGATTTGCCCACCTCAGCCTCCCAAAATACTGGGGTTATAGGCATGAGCCACCGTGCCCAGCTCATTGAGCATTCTTGTAGCACCCCACAGTCTTTTTTGGAAACAGAGTCTGTCTGTGTTGCCCAGGCTGGAGTGCAGTGGTGTGGTCTCGGCTCACTGCGACCCCTGACTTCCAGGTTCAAGCTATTCTCCTGCTTCAGCCTCCCGAGTAGTTGGGACTACAGGCTCCTGCCACCTTGCCTGGATAAGTTTTGAATTTTTAGTAGAGGTAGGTTTCACTATGTTGGCCAGGCAGGTCTTGGACTCCTGACCTCATGATCTGCCTGCCTCGGCCTCCCAAAGTACTGGGATTACAGGCGTGAGTCACCATGCCTGGCCATAATTCCTTTTTTTAAAGATTTATTTAATTAATAAATAAAAATTGTATTCATGAACAACATGAGGTTTAGAAATATGTATATATTGTGGAATATCTAAATTAAACTAATTAACATATGCATTACCTCACTTTTGGAGACAGAATCTTGCTCTGTCCCCAGGCTGGAGTACAGTGGTGCGATCTCAGCTCACTGCAACCTCTGCCACTCAGGTTCAAGCAATTCTTTCTCAGCCTCCCGAGTAGCTGGGATTACAGGCACACGCCACCAGACCCAGCTAATTTTTGTATTTTTAGCAGAGATGGGGTTTCACTATGTTGGCTAGGCTGGTCTTGAACTCCAGACCTTGAGATCCTCCCGCCTCTGCCTCCCAAAGTGCTGGGATTACAGGTGTGAGCCACTGTGTCTGGGCTTACTTTTTTTTTTTTTTTTTTTTGTGGTGAGGACACTTAAAATCTACACTTTTAGTGATTTTTCAAGTATACAATACATTGCTTTTAACTACGGGCATCAGATCATACAATAGATCTCTTGAGTTTATTTCTCCTCTCTAACCGAAATGTCTCATCCTTTGACCAACCTCTCCCTTCTTCTCCCCACAAACCCATTGAGACCTTGGTAACCACCCGTCAACTCTCTGCTTCTGTGAGTTTGACGTTTTATTTATTTATTTAGAGACAAGGTCTTGCTGTGTTGCCCAGGCTGGAGTGCAGTGGTGCAATCATGGCTCACTTCAGCCTTGACCTCCAGGGCTCAAGTAATCCTCCCACCTCAGTCTCCTGAGTAGCTGGGACTACACACATGAGCCACCATGCCGGGCTAATTTTTAAAGTTTTTGTAGAGATGGGGTCCCATGATGCTGAGTTTTACTTTTTTTAGATTTGGCACATGAGATTATATGGCATTTGTCTCCCTATGCCTGGCTTATTTCCCTTAACATAGTGGTGTCCTCCAGGTTTATTCATGTTGTTGCAAATTGTCTTCTTTTTAAGGCTGAAGAATGCTTTTTTTTTTTTTTTTTGAGACGGAGCTTCATTCTTGTTACCCAGACTGGAGTGCAATGGCGCGATCTCGGCTCACCGCATCCTCCGCCTCCTGGGTTCAAGCAATTTTCCTGCCTCAGCCTCCCGAGTAGCTGGGACTACAGGCGCACACCACCATGCCCAGCTAATTTTTGTATTTTTAGTAGAGACGGGGTTTCACCTTGTTGACCAGGATGGTCTCGATCTCTTGACCTCGTGATCCACCCGCCTCGGCCTCCCAAAGTGCTGGGATTACAGGTGTGAGCCACCGCGCCTGGCTGAATGCCATTGTTTATACACACCACCTTTTCTTTATCCATTCATCTGTTGATGGAAACTGAGGTTGATTTCATATCTTGGCTACTGTAAATATTTCTGGAATGAACATTGGAGTACAGCTACCTCTTCAACATGCTGATTTCATTTCCTTTGAATACGTACCCAGAAGAGGGTTGCTGGATCACATGGTGGTTCTACTCGTAATTTTTTGAAGAACCTTGATTTTCCCACATGATTAGTGATTAGTGAAGAAAAAGACTGTCTTTTTTGAGAAACGTCTGTTTGGAGTCTTTTTTTTTTTTTTTTTTTTTTGTCTAGAGTCAGGATCTTATTCTGTCTCCCAGGCTGGTGTGCAGTGGCATGATCATGGCTCACTCTAGCCTTGAATTCCTGGGTACAAGCAACCCTCCTGCCTCAGCCTCCTGAGTAGCTGGAATTACAGGTGCACACCACCACTTCCCGCTGATTTATTTTTTTACTTTTTATTTATAGAGATCGGGTCTTGCTATGTTGCCCAGGCTGGTCTACAACCCCTGGCTTCAAGCAATCTTGCTGCCTCTGCCTCCAAACGTGCTGAGATTACAGGTGTGAGCCGCCATGCCCTGCCTCTTTGCCTATTTATTTTATTTGTTTATTTTTTGAGATGGAGCCTGACTTCATCACCCAGGCTGGAGTGCAGGGGCGTAATCTCGGCTCACTGCAACCTCCGCCTCCCAGGTTCAAGCAATTCTCATGCCTCAGCCTCCTGAGTAGCTGAGACTACAGACATACACCACCGTGTCCAGCTAATTTTTTTGTATTTTTTAGTAGAGATGGGATTTCACCATGTTGGCCTGGCTAGTCTTGAACTCCAGACGTCAAATGATCCACCTGCCTCAGCCTCCCAAAGTGCTGGGATTACAGGCATGAGCCACCATGCCCAGCCTTTGCCCGTTTTTTAATTGAGTTATTTGAGCTCGCATGTTTTGGAATATGAACTCCTTTTCTGATGTATGGCTACAAATATTTTCTCCTGTTCTCGATGTCATCTCTGTTGACTGTTACTGCTGCTGTTGATGTGCAGGAGGTTTTTGGTTTGATGCGACCTCATTTGTCTATTTTTGCTTTTGTTGCCTGGGCTTTCTGGGTCATATCCAAAAGACCAAAGCCCAGACCAGTGTCACTAAGCCTCTTTTTTTTTTTTTTTTTTTTTTTTTTTTCATTTTTTTGTGGCAGAATCTCAGTCTGTCGCCCAGGCTGGAGTGCAGTGGCTGAATCATGGCTCACGGCAGCCTTGACCTCCTGGGCTCCGGTGATTCTCCCACCTTAACCTCCTAAGTAGTTGGGACTACAGATGTGGGCCGCCACCCCTGGCTAATTTTTTGTATGTTTAGTTCAGAAGAGGTTTCGTCATGTTGTTCAAGGTGGTCTCAAACTTCTGGGCTCAAGCGATCCACCTGCCTCAGCCTCCCAAAGTGCTGGGATTGCAGGTGTGAGCCACTATGCCTGGCCTTTTTTTTTGGTTCAAGATTGCTTTGGCTGTTTGAGGCCTTTTGTGGTTCTATATTAAAATTGCTTTTTCTATTTCTGAGAAAAATGTCATTGGAATTTTAAAAGGATTGCACTGAATCTGTAAATTGCTTTGGATAATATGGACATTTTAATAATATTAATTCTTCCAAAGCACCCTTCATTTTTTTCTTTTTTGAGATAGAGTTTTGCTCTTGTCATTCAGGCTGGAGTGCAATGGCATGGTCTCAGCTCACCACAACCTCTGCTTCCTGGGTTCAAACAATTCTCCTGCCTCAGCCTCCCAAGTAGCTGGGATTATAGGCCTGTGCCACCACACCTGATAATTTTTGCATTTTTAGTAGAAACTGTTTTCACCATGTTGACCTGGCTGGTCTCGAACTCTTGACCTCAGGTGATCCACGTGCTTCCGCCTCCCAAAGTGCTGGGATTACAGGCATGAGCCACTGTGCCTGGCCTGGAAGCAAGAGAGTTCTAGAAAGAGTAGGGAAAGGTCTTGATCTGGGCCTGAGGGCTGAGCCTCTATGGCAGCCTCTGTCATGGACTTCCATGACAAACCCTATTCCCAGAACACTGGCTCTGGACCCTGCAGTCCCTTTCCACAGGCTTCCATATTGCCCCATTCAGCCCCTGGCCCCCCGTGAGGCTTCTGCTTCCCATAAACCCCCATCCCCTTCCCTTCCCTCTCTTACCTAAGGAGCCTGCTGCAGGCATGGGAGCGGCAGCGGCAGGAGGAGCGGCAGCAGGCCGAGCTGCGTCGGGCCCGCACACAGCATGTACAGCAGCAGGTGGCCCGCTGCCTGGCGGCCTACGCGCCCAGAGGGAGCCGGGGGCCTGGGGCAGCCCAGCGCAAGCTGGAGGAGCTGAGGTAGAGAGCCCAGGCTTTGGGGGGCCCGGTGGGAAGAGGGCAGGGAGGCCGTGACAGGTCTCAGACTACAGGACCGAGGAGCACCAGCCCTCGCCTTCCCTGGAGCTGGCCAGGCCACTTCGCCGTGTTTACAGATGAGGATACTGAGGCATGGGGAGAAGGGGCCCGTCGAAGGCCACCAGTTAATATAATGACAATCTCTGCTGCTGTCGAATGCTCAAGGTTAAAATATTCTACATCTATGATCAGACCTTCAAATCTTCATTTCCTGATTTCCAATGCCAGACATACTTGTTATAAAATTTCACAGAAATATTGACTGGAGAAGGTGAACCGCCCTGTGACCCCACTCTGGGAGATAGCCATTGTTCACAGTTGGCTGAAGAGTCACGTTTTATTCTCTTCCTATATTGTGACCATTTTCCTAAGAAGCAAATCTATTGGCAAACCTTTTTTGGACTCCTAACAGGCCCACCTGCTGGTGGGCCAGGTCAGATTATTCCCTTGGCTGCACGAAAGAATTTGAGAGCAAGTTCAAAGGCAAAGAAGGTTATTGCAAAGCAAAGGCTACCCTAACCAACATGGTGAAACCTCATCTCTACTAAAAATACAAAAATTAGCCGGGCACGGTGGTGCATGCCTGTAATCCCAGCTATTCGGTAGGCTGAGTCAGGAGAATCACTTGAACCCAGGCGGAGGTTACAGTGAGCCAAGATTGCGCCACTACGCTCCAGCCTGGGCGACAGAGCAAAACCTCTATCTCAAAAAAAAAAAAAGAAAAAGGAAAAAAAGGCTCACAGGAGGCTGAGGTGGGCAGATCACCTGAGGTCAGGCGTTCAAGACCAGCCTGACCATCATGGAAAAACCCGTCTCCATTAAAAATACAAAAAAAAAAAAAATCACCAGGTGTGGTGGTGCATGCGTGTAATCCCAGCTACTTGGGAGGCTAAGGCAGGAGAAATTGCTTGAACCCAGGAGCAGAAGTTGCGGTGAGTGCCATTGCACTCTAGCCTGGGCAACAAGTGCGAAAACTCCATCTCAAAACAAAACAAACAAACAAAAAAACCAAGCCCACCCTGAGGACTGCTCAGAAGGAAAGACAGCAGCTTGTGCCTTAAAAGGAATTCCTTTCGTGGGATTTGTTCATACATATTCACAAAATCCTGGTCAGGTATGCAGAGGCGGACCTGTGATTGGCACATGCGCTCAGCATCTGTATGTGCTAATGCACATCACAGATATCATTAGAAATCCCCACCTAGGGGTGTGTTTTTTACTATTAAAATGAGGAAAATGTTGCTATAAGCTAAACCTTGAGCCTAGCTGTGTATGCGGGACCCCGAGAAGTCCCTAGCTCCCCGCAAGGCAGGAATTTGTAGCTAATAGCTTCCAGGGCTTTTGCTGATTGACTGGAGATTGGGGAAGCTACATTATGAATAAGGGGCTTTTGTTTTCTTCCCTGGGCTGTTCTAGGTATCAGGGAACTTGTAGCCATCTGGTATCCCCCAGGACTGCTATCCTGAAAAAGAGTTAGGCACTCAGCCGGGTTAGAGTGGCTCATGCCTGTAATCCCAGCACCTGGGGAGACCGAGGCTGGTGGATCACCTGAGGTCAGGAGAGACCAGCCTGGCCAACATGACAAAACTCCACCTCTACTAAAAAAATACAAAAATTAAAAATTAGCCAGGCATGGTGGCACACACCTGTGGTCCCAGCTACTAGGGAGGCTGAGGCAGGAGAATCGCTGAACCTGGGAGACGGAGGTTGCAGTGAGCTGAGATCATGCCATTGCACTCCAGCCTGGGTGACAGAGCAAGACTCCATCTCAATATAAATAAATAAAAATAAAGAGTTAGGTGCTGATGCACGAGCGCACAAGTGACCCAGAGCGACTGTGAAAGGAGCCCCGGGGCTTCAGACAAGGGGACAAGTCTGTATGGCCTGCCCACCTTACTGTCCTTCCTCAGTATCTCCACCTGCCGGTGAGGAAACTGAGGTTCAGAGAGCTTAAATAATTTGCCAAAGGTCACGGGTGGGTAGTAGAACTGAGTTCCAGCCACCTTGCCTGCCTGAGTGCTCAAATTCTCCCTTTAGATGAAAGATACCAGGCCCTTCCCATAAGAGCTCAACCTAGTGAAACAGGTAATACGAATAAATGTGACCAAAACTAGTGCCATTGATTTGAGCACCTCCTGGGTGCAGTGAGCACAGGGCATCTTTTTCTGCACCGTCTCCTCTGGTCCATGACAAGTAGGGTGAGGATCCACAGAGGTTTCAGTGGGGTTCTGATCATCTACTCTTTGAGGCTCAATCTTAGTCGCCCCAATTTTACAGATTTGGAAAGAGAGGCTCTGAGAGGTCAAATGCGTTTTAGGAGACTGCTTGGGCCACTCCCTTCTTCCCAATCTCGCTCTGTCACCCAGGCTGGAGCGCAGTGGCATGATCTCGGTTCACTGAAACCTCTGTCTCCCCGGCTCAAGCAATTCTCCTGCCTCAGCCTCCCAGTTGTGGTGTGCACCACCGCACCTGGCTAATTTTTCGTATTTTTGGTAGAGACAGGGTTTGACCATATTGCCCAGGCTGTCTCGAATTCCTGACCTCAAGTGCTCCACCTGCCTCAGCCCCACAAATTTCTGGGATTGCAGGCGTGAGCCACTGTGCCTGGCCAAATGTTTTGTTTTGATAGCAAGGCAGGAAGTGTCAGGTTCAGAACTCCAAGTGGCAGGTGCGACAGAAGAGTGATTCAACCTCACTCCTTTCACTTTCTATTTGAGACCATTAAGTCATCAGTAGATGTCTCCCACATGGTCTCACAGCTCTTACAGCCTGTGAGCTTCACTGTGTGATCGGAACAGGAGACTCTGTCCTGCCTAGGAAGGACGGGCACAAAAGAGGTTGTCCTCCTTCCATTCTGAGATGATGGATGGGGCTGACACCCACAGGCACAACTTCCCTTTCTAATCAGGACTCCTGTCATTTTTAACAGATATAGCATAAAGTGGCTGGGCACAATGGCCTATAATCCCAGCACTTTGAGAGGCCAAGGCAGGCAGATCACCTGAGGTCAAGACCAGCCTGACCAACATGGAGAAACCCTGTCTCTACTAAAAATATATAATTAGCCAGGCATGGTGGCACATTCCTGTAATCCTAGCTACTCAGGAGACTGAGGCAGGAGAATCGCTTGAACCTGGGAGGCGGAGGTTGCAGTGAGCCGAGATGGTGCCATCGCACTCCAGCCTGGGCAACAAGAGCAAAACTCTGTCTCAAAAAAAAAAAAAAAAGGAAAGAGAAAGAAAGAAAGAAAGAAAAGAGGGAGGGAGGGAGGGAAGGAAGGGAAAGAAAGAAAGAAAAAGAAAGAGAGAAAGAAGGAAAGAAAGAAAGAAAGGAAGGAAGGAAGAAAGAAAGAAAGAAAGAGGAATAGCATAAAGTATCCAGCAGGAAAAGTGCACATGATATCACTAAAAGATAGAGACTGCCAGCTCATTTTCCACCTCCCCTTGTAACTGCTGTGAATTCCTTCCTAAATGGTGAAAACCCTTTTCAAGGCAACTTATGTTCCTGGCCGAGGGTTTTCAAGTCCACGTCTTTTTCTCAGTGGAGGATGCTTCCTTCCCTGCCACAGGGCCAAGGGCACATGACCCAGCAAGGTGGTGTTTTTCCACGGGGCCCAGCACATTCACTCTGAGGTCCCAGCACAGGTCCTGAGGTCTTGTCTGCTTCTCCCCTCCCCTCCAGTCCATGGGTGCTGCCTCCACACCTCAAGGTCTCTCTTATGTGCTTCACAGAAGGATGTCTGGTCCCATTTGGGGTGTGGCCTGAAGGCCCCTCTTGCTGACAGGGTGCTCTTTTCACGAGGAAGAGTGACACTCAAGTTTCTCAAGCAGACACATTCTGACAAGTGCACAAACTGGGTTTGGGGTTTTTTTGAGACAGGGTCTCGCTCTGTTGCCCAGGCCGGAGTGCAGTGGCACAGTCTCAGCTCACTGTAGCCTAGCCCTCCCAGGCTCAAGGCATCCTTCCACTTCGGCCTCTCAGCTAGCCGGGACTACAGGTGCATACCACCACGCCCTGCTAATTTTTGCATTTTTTGTAGAAACAGGATTTCACCGTGTTGTTCAGCCTGGTCTCAATCTCTTGGGTTCAAGGATCCGCCCTCTTTTGCCTTCCAAAGTGCTCGGATTACAGGTGCTAGCCACTGCACCCAGCCAAACTGGGTTCTTGTAAATGAAAACTGTGCTTCTCCAATGGAAGCCTGATCTCTCCAGGATGTGGTTTTTAAATTTGAAACACTTTTTTTTTTTTAAGTTTCTCTGTCCTATTTTCCAAGCTGTCTGCTTATAAGAACCACAGAGAATTCTGGCAAGCTTGTCCGATCGCTGCTATAGCACAGTGAAATAAACTGAGCGCAAAGCCCAGAGAGAGGCCTTGCCCAAAGTCACACAGCTAACAACCACAGCTTCCCCTCAAGGGGAAGAGGACAGGGAGAGGGAGGCTATGGAAGCAGGTGTCTGGAAGCTCAGAAGCCAGCACTGGCCCCTTTCCCACGGGGGTGGCACAGGAGGATGGGAAGGCCCTGGCTGCACAGGGCTCAGTCCCTCACTTCCCAGCTGCCCAGCTTTGAACAAGTCCCTCAACCCTCCTGAGCCATCAGTAAATTGGTGAATAATGTCCACACTGGCTGACTTCACAAGGAATCCAAGGCCAGAATGGGCATGCAATCGCTTTATGAAGGTGAGGGTGAGAGCATGAATATCAAGCCCTGAGTAAAGATGAGCGGGCTCAAGAGTGGGGATGAACAGTTGTGTCCACGGTTAGCTGCCCAAAAGCCTGTCTCTCCTGCAGGCGTCAGGAGCGACAGCGCTTTGCTGAGTACCAGGCAGAGCTGCAGGGCATCCAGCACAGGGTGCAGGCCCGGCCCTTCCTGTTTCAGCAGGCCATGCAGGTGAGGCTGGCACCTGAGCAAGCACACAGCTGCCCGCTGCGAAGAGCTGGCTGAGTGGGTAGGGAAGCAGCATGGGCGGAGGTCCCTGCAGATAGGATCCCAGGGCTGGGGAGTCCCTGGGGCCCACTCAGTAACCAGAGCCCCAGCTTGCCCTCGGCAGCCTTGGCACAGAGCAGGAAGCCCTTTTCTCTTTCCTCAGGCCAATGCCCGTCTCACTGTCACCCGGCGCTTCTCCCAGGTGCTGTCAGCACTGGGGCTAGATGAGGAGCAGCTGCTGGCTGAGGCAGGAAAGGCGGACACAGTGGGCACCCCCAGAAAACCCAGGTGAGTCCCCCGGCAGGTCAAGAAATGGCTCTGTCATGCTGCTGAGGGATGGGGCGCCCACACCAGCACTCTGGGCTCTGGAGGGCCTCCCCTAGGCCCTGCCCTTCCTGTCACCCAAGGAAGTCTAGGCCAGGGTTGTCATTCCTACTTCTCAATGAGAAAATTAAGGACCTGACAGGCAGGGCCTTGCTTAAGGACACAGGAACGAACAAGCAGCAGAGTCAGTGTGGGACTCTGCAGCCATCCGAGCTGCCGCACACCAAGCCCTCATTAGGGGCTGGCACCACACTGGTTACTCCTCGGATACCTCTCTTATGCCTTCGAATAAACCTGGTATAGAGCAGGGACTATGAAGCCCACTTGACAATCAGGAAAGTGAGACTTGAGAAGAGAGAGTCACTTGCCCAGGACCACACAGCAAGCCAGTATAGGAGCAGGGTTTGAAGCCACATTGTCAGTGGTTTCTTTGGGCATGGGGGTGGCAGCTGAAGAGCTAGGGGGCTCTATCTGTGTCTTGAAGGAGCCACAGGCCAATGAGGGTGAGAATGGAGCACTCTCCTCAGAGCCCCCCAAGGAAAGAACCCACCGGCAGCCAGCCTGACAGGCACCACACCCCCAGCGTGGACCCGGAGTGCAGTCCCTGAGATAAAAATGAAAGGCTTTATGGCAAACACAGCGTGGGATTTCTGGTGGTGGTGGTGGAGGCTCCAGGTTGGAAGTGAGAGGTGGCAGGTGAGTGGGCAGCAGGCTTAGCTCTGTCCCCACATCCCCAGAGGAGCTCTGGCTCTTTTGGTTCCCCCCACCCAGCACACACAGCCCCTTCTCTCCTCCTGAGGAGTGGGGACATCTCAAAGAGCAAAAACTGTGACTTCTCCACCCCATCCTCAATGTGTATGCTGGGTCCTAGAAATTCAAGCGTGAATAAGATGGAACGACTCCCGCCTCTGAGGATGCCCAGTCAGTGGGAGAGGGGGTGGACCCTCAGAGGGGTGCATACAACATACCCTAACACAGACTGACTGTGCCACACAGGGAGCCACAGTCTTAGTAACCGTTGGGTGGGGGGAGGGGTTTCAGGAGGGAATGTGTGCATTGGTCTTTTTAAGTTCCAGTATTTTTAAGTTAGGGATCCTCTCCTCAAGAAAAAAAATCATACACACAGATGTGCCATATTTTGCATTCAATTTCAGGGGTTCCACGGACACACTGACACCCATGTGGAGCTCCTTAACAGTTCACACGTTTAAAAAACCCAATCCAGGGCCAGGCAGAGTGGCACACACCTGTAATCTCGGCACTTGGGAGGCCAAGGCGGGTGAATCGCTTGAGCTCAGGACCAGCCTGGACAACATAGTGAGACCCCCGCCCCCATATCTATAAAAAAATACACAAATTAGAGGGGCGTGGTAGCGTGCACTTGCAGTCCCAGCTACTGGGAAAGCTGAGGTGGGAGGATCACTTGGGCCCGGGAGGTCAAGGCTGCCGTGCACTGTGATGGCGCCACTGCACTCCAACCTGAGGAACAGAGTGAGATCCTATCTCAAGAGAAAAACAACCCGGGGGACGTGGGAAGGCAGCGTTCCCTGAGGTTACTGGTTCTAGGGAGTCGGAAGCTGGGCTATGCAATTGGGGACCTCGGGAAAACAACACCCGTTGGAGCCACGACCCCAGGAGTCCAGGAAGCGAGCGCCCACTATAGGAGGGAGGTGTCCACGGAGACCGTGAGGTAGTGAACACCACGTTGCCGGGGAAGTACAAGCGCAGGGAGGCCAAGGAGGAACTTCCAGCCTCGAAGACACTGGCTTAAGGTGTCTGAACACATTTGATAGTGTTCAGTAAAGTTATTTGCTGTTTGTGTGGTGGCTGGAGCAGGTCTAACTCCTTCCAGTTTTGGGATCCTATCTCCGGGGTTAATTCCGCGTCCCTTGAGGAGCGCATGCGCAACAGGACCACCTGCTCACAGAACCCACTGGACCCAAGACCGCGCGAATGCGCAGTGGAGCCCTGATCCTAGCCTTCCCATGAGCCTCTGGGGCAGGCTCCAAGGCGAGCGGCGGAAGCAGCCGCTCTTAGTTTCCCGCAACACGACAGCGGCTGCCGAGCGACCCGGAAGTGTTCCCATTTTGCGTTGTCTGGGCTCGGCAGCGGCCGGGCTTGGGGCTGACGCGCTACTATGGGGTCGTCCAAGAAGCACCGCGGAGAGAAAGAGGCGGCCGGGACGACGGCGGCGGCCGGGACCGGTGGGGCCACCGAGCAGCCGCCGCGGCACCGGGAGCACAAAAAACACAAGCACCGGAGTAGCGGCAGTGGCGGTAGCGGCGGCGAACGACGGAAGCGGAGCCGGGAACGTGGAGGCGAGCGCGGGAGTGGGCGGCGCGGGGCCGAAGCTGAGGCCCGGAGCAGCACGCACGGGCGGGAGCGCAGCCAGGCAGAGCCCTCAGAGCGGCGCGTGAAGCGGGAGAAGCGCGACGACGGCTATGAGGCCGGTGAGGAGGCGGGACCTGCTCAGGGGGCGGGGCGGGCAGGGGTCCCGGAGCGGGCGGGTCTGGGTGTGCGCGCAGTGGCTGCGAAGCTCTCCAGGCCGGGAAACCCCCAGACTGTCTACGTTAACTCTTATTAAATAGTCTTTCTACGGCACCTCTCGAGCCCAAGAGTTAGAGGCTGCAGTGAGCTGCAATCGCGCCAGATGCACTCCAGTCTGGTCAAGAAAGCGAGACTCTGTCTCAAAAAAAAGTATTTTCTATGGTTGATTAGGATTAGAGATTGACTTTCTCCACCTAGCTCCTTGAGGACAGAGGGCTTCTGTTTTCCTCAGTTGTCTGGTAAAATTACAGATCCTCAATAAATGTGTTGAATGAATGAATGAATGAAGTAGTATCAGCGTATGCAGAGGCGAGAGAAACCTGGTATTGGAAGAATCGTGTAGGGCTCATGGTAGTGAAATGAGGGAGTAAGATAAAGATAGTTAGGGATGTGAACACAAAGGACCGTGTACTGTAGGTTCCGTTAAGAAATACAGATTGTCTTGAGGTTGGTAGGGAGCCATGGATGTGAGTTGAGGAGTGAGTTGCTCAGATCCATATTTTGTAAACATTGCTGGATTGAGAACTTAGTCAAAGGTAGTCACGATTGGAGACCAGGAAATCAGGACGGCTAGAGACCACATGAGGGCCGATGGTAGCCTGCACCAATGCAGCAGCAGTGGGATGGAGAGAAGTGGACAGGTTGGAGAGGTGTTTTGGAGGAGGAATGAACAGAACTCAGCACTTGTATGAGACTGGGAAGGAAAAGGCATTGAAAATGATTCCTTGAATTTTGACTTGAGCAGCCAGATGAGTTGTGGGTGTCATCTCTACTGAAACTGAGGAGCAGAGAAGAGAAGCAGACTTGGAGGGGGATGGATAATTCACTTTTGGGGTTGTGGAGCTTGATGTGCATGTGAAAAGCCAGAGTTTGGACTGGATAAAGCCACTGGGAGTCAGTATCTGGGTGGCCAGTGAAGCTTGTAGGGCTGATGGCCCACAGGGTGTGCCTTATGCTGTGCTGAGGCGCAGGATCCAAGGAATAAAGAGACAGGACAGGCCGGGCACGGTGGCTCAAGCCTGTAATCCCAGCACTTTGGGAGGCCGAGGCGGGTGGATCACGAGGTCAACAGATCGAGACCATCCTGGTCAACATGGTGAAACCCTGTCTCTACTAAAAATACAAAAAATTAGCTGGGCATGGTGGCGCGTGCCTGTAATCCCAGCTACTCGGGAGGCTGAGGCAGGAGAATTGCCTGAGCCCAGGAGGCGGAGGTTGCGGTGAGCCGAGATCGCGCCATTGCACTCCAGCCTGGGTAACAGGAGCGAAACTCCGTCTCAAAAAAATAAAAAAGAGACAGGACACAGAAGTACAGGGAAAATGCAGCTGGGCTCAAGGGGCCACGCCCCTATGAGTGGAGTCAGGTGAGGCCCCAGATGTCCAGAAGCGTGAGTGTTTGTTGTGTTTAGGTTAGGGGGCAGGGCAGTGAGTGAAGTCATCTTTAAGGATAGTGATAGGGTCGTGAGCAATAAAACAAGGGGTCCACCCCATTAGGTCACCTAGGCTGGGAGGTGGACAGTGTGCAGCAAGGCGTCCATTCCCATTAGGTCATCAAGGCAAGGGCCATGTGCAGTAAGGGGTCCACCCCCATTAGGTCACTGAGGTATGGAGGTGGGCCATGTGCAGTGAAGAGGGTGCAGTGTGCAATACCTCTATCTATGGGTAAGCTACTAAGAAGATTTATAGGAGGATGCTTTAAGTCACATAGCAGTGACAGAGCTGTCAGGGTCTATGCCACCTGCTGGCAGCTTCCAATAAGTTCTATAGAGGAATGCTTTTCGAGCAGCACAGTAACAAGAGCTGATAAAGTTCACAGTCACCAAGGTGTGATTGCCGGTCTGAGGGCAGCCTTCCACAGGAACTGGTGCAAGGTCCTACAACTCCTTTATCAGGAGGAGTGGCTCTTGCCCCAAGCCTGCCATACAGCGGGTATCTATAATACTGAATGCTGCTGCCTAGGCCATGGATTCTTGCCCTGGTATAACATTTTTCCCTTAAATCATGCGGTGCCCTGTGTCTGCTCTAGGCATTCCTCCGATTATAAGCTGCTTATTCCTTAATTCATGCTCTGTACTGTATCTACTCTAGGCATTCCTCTACCTTAATTCATGCTCTGTACTGTATCTACTCTAGGCATTCCTCTGATTATAAACTTAGATATAGTTTTAATATATATGAAAATAACTGAGTGGTAAGATATTCTTTAGGCACTCATTCTATGAACTAATGTGTGATCATATAGAGAGGATTGTACAAAGGGAAATAACTGAGTAGTAACACTGTAAACAGATACTCTCCAAGCCCTAATTCTATAAACTAATATATAATCATATAAAGGATTATATAAAAAGAAATAACTGAGTAGTAACACTATAAACTGAGATATTCTCCAGGGCTTAATTGTGCCAGGATTCTGCTTAGCTCTCCTTCCTCGGTACCTATGTGGGGTTACCCACAAGGCTCCCAAAATAATGTGACATGAAAAGCCGGGGTCAGGAATAGAACCTGAGAAATGCCCTTATTTTAGTAGTAGGCAGAGAAAGATATTACAAAAAAAAAAAAAAGGAGCTAGGAACCAAAAAGGCAGGAAAACCTTTGTGTCATGAGATCTTTGGAAAGGGTATTGTTAGAAGGAGGGAGTGATCAACAGTCCCACACACTACAAGAGATCAAGCAAAACCAGAACCGAAAAAAGCCCATTAGATTTAGAAATGAGGAGGCTGGCCGGGCGTAGTGGCTCACGCCTGTAATCCAAGCACTTTGGAGGCCGAGGTGGGCAGATCACCTGAGGTCGGGAGTTCAAGACCAGCCTGACCAACATGGTGAAACCCCATCTTTAAAAAAAAGAAAGAAAGAAATGAGGAGGCTGGTGACCTTGGAGAGCACCTGGAGAGATTGGGGTCCAGGGCCCAGGTGGAGAGAGGAGCCTTTGAGATAAAGGAAAAGATAAGATGCAGGATAGGAATGCAGGAAAGGAAGAGCTCATGGTGGCAGCTGGCTGAAGGAGTTCATCTGAGGGTGTTCAGTAAGTTATTTGCTGTTTGTGAGGTGAATGGAGCAGGTTTGTAGTGCTTATTTATCCGTGTCCTCAGTGTCCAGCACAGAACAGGCACCAATAAGTGTTTCTTGACTCCTTGAGTCCCACAAAGGACAAGGTCATGCAGCAGCCACATTTCCTGTCCTGTTGGGAGAAACATACACAGAAATGGCTTGATTATGAATTCAGGGGAGAGCAGTTAATTCTTATCAGTCGTTGAACAGGACTTCATGAAAAAGGTGGTGTTTGATTTTAGCATTTGGATAGGATTTTGCCGATGAGAACAAGACCAGAGAGGACAGTTTAGGTTGAAGACTAATATATAGGTCCTTTATATATAGAATATATAAAAGTGGAGAGGGCCAGGCGCAGTGGCTCACACCTGGTACAGTCCA